ATGATAGGAAATGACACCTTACAAGCTGAATTTAAAGTTACTCATTTAAAATAAGATCTGTTATCTAAGAGAGTCCTACTTTAAAAAGACCATTAACTCAACACTCAATTGAGTGTTGAGTTAATGGTAGGGGAAAGCGGGGCAACATGGCGAATGGGGCAAGATGGGTTTTCATATAACGACTCAACAAAAAATCCTAAAATTGGGTAAAAACAAAACTGCATTTGCATCTTGTAATTTAAAGCACCAACTGGTTTTTTGAAACATTTTAATGCCATTATATACGCATAAGTTTACTTTTTGCGCTTGAAAATAAATTCCTCTTTTTCGGTTTTTCATAATGGATGGATATCTTTAAGTTTGACTACTTTAAAAGTAGTTTTTTGCAATTTTTGTTTATTATTTCTAACTTTAGTACAAGTTTTTGGTAGTTTTTAAAATTTCATAAAATTAAAGGGAAAAAATTGCATAATAAGTCATCTTGCCCTGGTGACGTGATTAGATGACAAATTTATGAACTTTTTCTTTTTTATAATAATATTTTTTTCGAATTGTTATATTTTCAAACTGAAAATTCATGCAGGAAATAAATCTTTTTAATAACATAAACATAAGGAGAAAGTGTTATTGCATCATTACTGATTTGCAATAAGTCAGGGTTTTCAAAACGTTCGCCGTGTTGCCCCGCTTTCCCCTATATTAAAAATTTATTCACAGAAGTTGCCGCAACTTAAGTTGCGGCAACTGCTGTGAATTTATTTTTTTTAACATTGAGCTTTAGCAAATTTACCTTCAAACGATATTGTACAGCATTTGGCACAGTAGCTGGGTTTTAGAAATTAGGTTGTAATAATAAAAAAATGACGTTACTTTAAGTTTGACACATTCTTTTACCATTTAAAGACAAATAAGATAATCTATGTTTAAAGCCATTATTTGCCAAAATTTTCGCAATTTAATAAAATGGTTATTTTAAGTAGCATAAAAAGTATTTGAAAAATCTAACACATTTAAAAAATTATTACAAAAACTAACTTGTCATTATGTATAAATTATAAAATTTTACAAAATTATAAAACATGTCATCATGTATAAACAAATTACTCTAGTAGAATTTATCAGCTAAGAGCTCTCTAAAAGAAAGTTAATTATTTTTTTTATTTTTAGAAGTATAAAATATCATTTAGTATGTTCTAAGATAATTAAATCTTTTATTGTTAAAATGTTTTTTTTATAACAATAGTCTTTATTGATGAAATATAGGTTTACTGAAGGCTGCAGGCTACAAAGAATATTATAATAAGTAAATTAAAAACAAGTAAATACTTCACATCTTTTATTATCTCATCAATGTTTTAAATAAAAAAATATTTAAAACATTAATAATTTAAAAATACTTTTAGGGAATTCGTACTCGTGGTACGATAAATACTTTAATGTTGAAGAAAATATATTAACTATGTAAATGTCTATGTGTTTGGGTGTTTATTTGCTGCACCGATGTCTTTTACTCAATACTTGTGAAAATAAAGGTAAAGTATATAAAATCGAACTTTTTATGGTAGATACAAAAATTAAATACGTAATGGTAGATGCAAAAATTAAATACGGTAATGTTTTCGAAAAAATCCGAATTGTTAATTTTATTGATAACTTTTTTTCCAATTGAATTGCTCAAAATTTAGACCAAATAAAGTTAGATTATTTGCAAGTTTAGTAACTAAAGAATATTATTGATTTTTAACAATACATCTTCTTTTTAATGGCGATACAGTTTAAATCAAGTGTTGTATTTATTTTTATTATTTTTAATTATTATTACATTTGTTTCAAATATTTCGTGTTTTTTCTGGAGAGGCAGAGCCTTCGTGCAACCTGTTTGGCACCGGCTACATGTTGCACTTATAATGTGGCGCTCCTGGTCTTGCTGTTCTCAATACAAAATACATTATTTATTTTAAAAATTTTATCTAATTGAAAAAAGTTTTACAATTTTTTTTTTAGCCTACAATAAACATTTGGAAGTTGCATAATAAAACTTAAATCATCTTGTCTGGATAAACCTGAATCAAAACAAGTTGTTGTTTTAAAGCCAACTTAAAACAAGTTGTTGTTTTGTTCGAAGAAATAAAACTTTTAAATTTTTATTAAAGAACTTTAAGTTTTGTTTTTTAAAGCAAACCTACACAGGTTGACGTTTTATTATACAATGTTTCGATATCACATCTTGTTAAATATGGCATGTTTTAAAGGAACAGTATATTGGAATATGCACAAAATAAACAAAAATGTTTAACATTTTAAATGGTTTTCATAATAAGTTAAAACTATTCTATGATAAACAAGTTTAACTTTTTTATTTATAAGCTAATAGTTTAAAATAAAAAATACTAAGTAATCATGTATACTAGCTGTCAGGACCCGTACGATACGGATCGTAGTAAAACTGACTATTTTGAAACTTGTTTCTAATTTAGTCTTTATACTTTAATTTATTTTAGTTAACGGCAAAAAAAAAATCAATTTAAATTTGTATACCTTTTGCTTTTTGTTAAATTATAACTAATTTAAAAAAGTCTAATTTATCTAAAATATCTAAAATACCAAATCAAACTTTAATGAACAAATGACTACCTAAAGCTCCTGCCTTCTGGTTAATTTTCAATATACTATACTTTAGAAATATTTATTATTTTTAATTTTTTATTTTAATATTTTTTACACAATAAAAGTATCTTTACCATAATAGACAGTTGCGTAACATTTCTTCAGTTGTTTTTGGAAACATCGGCTATGATAATAATATTTTAACTCCCTCTTAATGATTTATTTAAAAAGCAAATTTAGACATTGAAAAAAGGGCCATAGAGTCCTAGTTATTTCAAATAAGCTATCTTTATCTGTTCAATATTTTTTGTAGAAGCCTAACTGTAAAAATACTTTTAACAAAATCATACAATTAAGCTGTTTTTTAAAACTGTTGTTTTTGCAATCGATACTTAATGCTAATGAAAACCGTCTTGATCGAAACTTTAGACCAAACCTTATTAAATCTGTTCCACACCCAAATATTTAACACTTGCTCTTAATTTGGTCTCTATACTGTTAGTAGACAGCAAGAAATAAGACGGTTAAAAGTTTGTGGTTAACAATTATTTATTTAATATTCTAGTTGTCATGACCCGTAAAATACGAGCCTTGGTAAATCTATTCCTCACCGACCTTTTCTATACTTATTCCATACTTTAATATATTTTAGTAAGAGAAAGAAAAATAACTAAATACATATATAATAACAATACTTATTGTTTACTTTTTAAAGATATAAGATAAATTTTCTATTATATTTAACTTTAAAAATTTTTTAACGTTTCGGTGGACGTTGCGCGAATCGCTATCAGTATATATTTCAAG